TGTTCCTAGTAGGGCGATCTTCTGGCAAACTTGTATATTGATGTTGCCTGGGACACTGTTAGTAAAATTGTTCATTCCTTTTCTCACGAGAACCAGAGTAGGAAAGACACTCTCCTATAATAATAATAATTATAATAATAATAATAATAATTATTATTATTATTATTATTATTATTATTATTATTATTTCCTTTGACTTCTGTTGTCCTAATGTCAGAAATGGCTTCAAGACATTTTCAACTGATCATTTTTGTAAAGATAAAATCAGCATACGGTCACATACATTTTACAAAGTTTCTGTAATGTGTGAGATGTATTGTGAATACAATTTTTTTGTATTGCTTTAAGGCTTGCTCCGTCAAGAACCCCTTCAATGAGTCTATCCGAACCTTTTCCAGTTAAGTCAAGGGCTCCAGCTACAACTGGAATTATTATGTCCTCATGTGCGCCATTTTAAAGGTTTTGCATTTCAAGATCCTTGTACTTTGATAGTTTTTGAAGATCCTCAAAGACACCATACAATCTGCAGGGACTGCAATGTTAATAAGAAAGCACATTCGGTTCTTATGGTCTTTTTATTATTACTATCAGGTCATTCCATAAGCTCTGTCCGAATTTTGAATAAAGAAAACAAGTGACCAAATGTTACATTTAATTACAGATTCAATAAACAATGTATGTTCCCTGATTATCTATGACTTCCTTCCATCTATTAACAAGCTTACTAATTCCATTACTGTAAAATTCTTTGGACTTTGATTTGAAGAACTCACAAATGTCAGTTTTAACCTCTTCCTGTGTTACAAAAGCTGTTTCTTCCAAATGATTCTGTAAGCTACGAAACAAATGGTAGTCTGAAGGAGCAAGATCGGGAGAATAAGGTGGATGAGGAATTTTCTCCCAACCAAGTTCTTCGATCTTTTGTGACGTAATTCTTGCATTGTCCAGATGAAACATCATCTCTTTTCGATTCGCTAGAGCAGGTCTTTTTTTTCTCAAAGCTTGGTTCAAACGCTCTAATTGCTGACAGTATATTTGAGCATTAATTGTTGCATTAGGTGGTAAAAATTCAAAGTGGATTATTCCTTGGCGATACCACCAGATTGGAAGAAGAACCTTTTGCCCATGAAGTTCCCTTCTCGGCTGTGGCTGGGGTCTTTCCCCTTTACCAGCCACTGTCTACGACGCTTAACATTTCGATAAAAGATCCATTTTCCGTCGCCAGTCACAAATCTATCCAAAAAAGGTGAAACAAGTTGGCGTGAATGGAGAGAAGAGCAGATGTCAACTCGGGATTTGAGGTTGTTTTCAGACAATTCATGAGGCACACATTTTCCAAGTTTAGGAACTTTTCCAAGTTGTTGAAGATGACGATGAACAGTTGTATGGTTTGAACTGAGAACCACTGCCAATTCCTCAACTGATAAAGCAGGATAATCTTCAAGGGCTGCTTCAAGAAGCTTTTCATCAAACTCAACTGGACGTCTGGTTCGATCTTCATCTTCAAGGGTGAAATCTCCACCTCTGAATTTTGCAAACCATCTTCTGCAAGTTCTTTCATTCACACATTCCTCTCCATAAACTGAGTGAATGTTTCTAGCCGCTTCGGCTGCTGAGTTTCCTTTCTTGAACTCATAAAGCATTATGTGCCTCAAATGATTCTTAGGTACTTCCATATTGGCAGGGTTTTAATCAAACAAAATTTAATTTTATTGTTCTCTGAAATAAAATTTGATCCGTTTAAATTCATCTAAACATAAAAATAATGTTCAGCTCCATTAGACATTACAAAATACTCTTTAAATTTCGTTCATTTTAACAAAAAGTTAAAATTCGGACAGAACTTATGGGATGACCTGATATTATTATGTGTATGTTATGCTTCCTGGTTTGTATCCTGTAGAGCTGGGTTCAAACTATCGTCCTTAGGCTTTATAAGAGAATTGTCTTTTAATTGATAGCACTTCTTAGTATATGGGATGGTTCTAGTAGGGCAATCTTCTGGCCAACCCATATGTTGATGTTACCTGGGACACTGTTAGTAAAATTGTCTATTCCTTTTCTCACGAGGCCCAGTGCTCCGATTACTATTGTTCATACCATGTCTCAGTGGTTTCTATTTTGTGCTTCTTGCATATATTCCATTGCACATATGCCCTACCTTCTTATGCTAGTTCCGAGCATCCTGAGATAATATAGTCGACAGTTTCATCATATTTTCTGCAGAAAATTGTTATTATTATTATTAGTAGTAGTAGTAGTATTATTGTCCAGCTTTTGTAAGTAAGCAAGTTCGTTCTCAAATCAGCTGCATAATCCATCAAACTGTTAAAAAATCTCGACAACCGAAATTATTATTATTATTATTATTTCCTTTGATTTCTGGCGTGTACTCATGTCTTTTCAGGTCTCTCCTAGAAACCTAAGATCAGAAATGGCAACATGACATTTTCCACTGAGCAATTTTGAAAAAAATTACACATTTTTTACATATATAAAACCCTTCGTGAGGTGTAAGCCGTGCCTGTAAGAACAATTTTTTATATTTATTTAAAGCATGGAACACCAGAAAGCCCTTCAGTGAGTCTACTGTAATCTTTTCCAATCAATCTTATGGCTCCATATACAACTGGAATTGTTGATGTTCTCATGTGTCACATTTTTTAGATTTCGACTTCAAGGTCCTTGTATTTTGAACGAAGGACCATGAAATTCATTATTATTATTATTATTATTATTGTTGTTGTTGTTGTTATTTTTATTTCCTTTGATTTCTGCCGTTTACACATTTCTTTCCGGGTCCCGCCCAGAGACCTGAGGCTAGAAATGGCCTCATGACACTTTCCACTGACAAAAAAAAAAAAAAAAAAAAAGAAAAAAAATACATATTTTACATAGATAAAGCCCTTTGTAAAGTGTGGGCTGTACTTGTGAGAACAATTTTTTGTATTATTTTGAGGCATGGGCTTCCAGGAATCCCTTGATTAGTCTATTGGAATCATTTTCAACCAATCCTAGGGCTCCAACTACAACAGGGATTGTTGATGTTCCCATGTGCCACATTTTTGAGATTTCTATTTCTAGGTCCTTATATTTTGACAGCTTTTTTAATATTTTCAAAGATACATTGCAGTCTGCAGGGACTGCCATATCAATAAGGAGGCACTTTTTTTTGTTTGTGGTCATAAATAACAATGTCTGAGCGGTTGGCTTTGGTTGTTCTGTCAGTGTGTATTGTTTAGTCCCATAGAATTGTAACAGGTCTTATCTTCTTAACCTGGTCTGGGTGGTGTTCATACCAGTTACAGAAGTTGCAGATTTTCCAGTGCAGATATTGGCCCACTCTGTCATGCCGGGTTTTATACTCAGTGGGTGCCAATATCGTGCAACCTGATACAAGATGATCAATCGTTTCTGGATATTTATCACAGAATCTGCATTTTGGGCTGACACAATATTTTAGTATATGTGCTTGATAATTCCTAGTTAGCAAGCATTGGTCCTGTGCAGCAAGGATAAAACTTTCAGTTTCAGCTTTCAACACTGCACTACGTAGCCACTGATGGGTACGGGTTTTGTCTACGTCAGCTTGTTTGGTACGGGCAGAGTATTGGCCATGAAGCGGTTATATCTTGCCATCGCTTCTGTATCTGGTCGGTTGCATTTGTCTTTGCTTTCTTTTTTAAGTATTTTGCAACTTATTATTATTATTTTCTTTGATTTCTGGCGTTTACACATTTCTTTTCGGGTCCCGCCCAGGGACCTAAGGTTAGAGATGGCATCATGACACTTTCCACTGACAAAAAAAAATTACATAGATAAAGCCCTTCGTAAAGTATGGGCTGTACTTGTCAGAACAATTTTTTGTATTATTTTGAGGCATGGGCTTCCAGGAATCCCTTCAATTAGTCTACTGCAATCTTTTCCAACCAGTCCTAGGGATCCAACTACAACATGGATTGTTGATGTTCCCATATGCCACATTTTTCAAATTTCTATTTCAAGGTCCTTGTATTTTGACAGCTTTTTAAATATCTTCAAAGATACATTGCAGTCAGCAGGGACTGCCATGTCAATAAGAAGGCACTTTTTTTTGTTCGTGGTCTTTAATAACAATATCTGGGCGGTTGGCTTTGATTGTTCTGTCAGTGTGTATTGTGTAGTCCCATAGAATTGTAACAGGTTCTATCTCCCTTACCGGGTCTGGGTGATATTCCTGTTGTATACTCATTTCCCAACCAGAAAGCTATGGTCAAAATGCCATCATCACTTTTTCCACTAAACATTCTCATAAAAAATTAAACAATCTAAAAACATATACATTATAAATAGATAATTCCCTTCATAAAGCATGAGTTGTACGTGATAACATTTTTTTTGTATTTCTTTAAGGCATGGGCTGCCAGAAATCCCTTCAACCAATCGAACTGAACTTTTTCTACTCAAACCGAAATCTCCAACCATAACTAGAATTATTAATGTTCTTATGTGAACATTTTTTTAAATTTCTACTTCAAGATAATTGTATTTTAATAGTTTCTTTTTAAGATTTTCAAAGTTAGATCACAGTCTACGGGAAATTCCATATCGATAAGAAAACATATTCTGTTCTTGTGGTCTTTGATCACTATGTGTGGGCGATTAGTTATGACTGTTCTGTGTGAACAATAAAATTGCTACAGATCCTATACCATGTAACCGGTTTTGAGTGATGTTTATACTAATACCATGCTGTTTCCTTCCTGTAAATTTTCATATTTTCCAGTATATATATTGACCTACTCTGTCATGCAGATACATTTCAAATAGATAAGGCTCTTCGTAATGAGTGACCTGTACTTGTGAGACCTGTAACAGGAATCCTTTGAAGAAGAAGAGGAATGAGAATAAGAAGAAGAAATTTTTTCTTTTCAATGTATTTTGTATTTCTTTCTTTAAGTTCATGAGCTAACATTGTGTTTTAAAATTTGTTGGATGTGATTAAAGATCTTACTTATCAATCATAGCCTCCCAAGAAAGAAAGAAAACTGATTTGAGGAAAGAAAACTGATTTGAGGAAAGAAAACTGATTTGAGGAAAGAGATTAATAGAGAAAGAAAACTGAATGAAAGAAATATATTGATAAAGAAAGAAAACTGGATAAAAGAAACAAAACTGAATGGAAAAAGTACATTGATTAAGAAAGAAAACTGAATTTTTTCTTGAATCAATGAAATATATTGAAAAAGAAAGAAAACGGAATAAAAAGAAATGCATTTCTTTTCTTCGAATGAATGAAATTTTGAAAAGAAAGAAAACTGAATTTATTTGAATCAAAATATTTCTTTCAAAAAAACGGAATAAAAGTTCATTGAGAAAAAAACTGAATGAATGAAATATATTGAAAAAAAGAAAGAAAACATTACATTGTGTTTTGAAAAAAAAAAAAAAAATTGAAAGAATATTGAAAAAGAAATGTGATGAAAAAAAACTGAATGATTAAATATAGCCCCAAAAAGAAAAAAACTGAATCAAGAGAAATAGCCTCCCAAAAAGAAAGATCTTACTGATAAAAGAAAATTGATAAAAAAAAACTGAATTGAAAAAGAAAGAAAACTGAATGAAGAAATAATTGAAAAAGAAAACTGATTTGAAAAAAAAAAACTGAATAAATGAAAATATTGAAAAAAAAAACTGAAAATGAAATATATTGAAAAAAGAAAGAAAAATTGAATGAAGGAAAAAAAAAAAAAGAAAACGGAATAAGAGATTTGATTGAAAAAGAAAGAAAAAATTGAAATTGAATGAAGATTGAAAAAAAAAAAACTGAATGAATGAAATGAAAAAAGAAATAAATTGAAGGAAATAAAGAAAGAAAACTGGAGAGAAAAAAAAAAAAAAACTGAATGAAAAAAATACATTGATTAAGAAAGAAAAAAGAAAAGAAAAAATGAATAAGAGAAAATTGATAAAGAAAAAACTGAATGAATGAAAATATAAAAAAAAAAAAAACTGAATGAATGAAAATATATTGAAAAAAAGAAACTGAATGAAGGAAATATATTGAAAAAAAAGAAAAAGAAAAGAGAAAAAATGAAAGCATTGATAAAAAAACTGAATGAATGAAATAATTGAAAAAAAGAAAAAAACTGAATGAATGAAATATATTGAAAAAAAAATTGAAAAGAAAAAAAAAAAAAAAACTGAATGAAAGAAAATATTGAAAAAAAGAAAGAAAACTGAATGAAGGAAAATTGAAAAAAGAAAAATGGAATGAAACAAATATTGAAAAAAAAAAACTGAATGAATGAAATATATTTGAATGAATGAAAAATTGAAAAGAAAAGAAAACTGAATGAAAAAAATGAATGAATGAAATATATTGAAAAAGAAAGAAAGAAAAATGAATGAAAATGAAAAAAGAAAGAAAAAATATGAAAAAAAAAAAATTGAATGAAAAAGAAAAAAAGAAAAACTGAATGAAAAAAGGAAATGAATGAATGAAATATAAAAAAGAAAACGGAAAAGAGAAATGCATTGATAAAGAAAAAACTGAATGAAAATATATTGAAAAAGAAAGAAACTGAATGAATGAAATATATTGAAAAAAAAGAAAACTGAATGAAAATTGAAAAAAACGGAATAAAGAAAGAAAAATTGAATGAAAGAAAAAAAAACTGAAAATGAATGAAATATATTGAAAAAGAAAGAAAACTGAATGAAGGAAATATATTGAAAAAGAAAGAAAACTGAATGAAGAGAAATATATTGATAAAAAAAAAAAAAAAGAAATATATTGAAAAGAAAGAAAAAAGAATGAAAGAAAGAAAAGAATAAAGAGAAATGCATTGATAAAAGAAAAATGAAAATGAATGAAGGAAATATATTGAAAAAAAAAACTGAATGAAGGAAATATATTGAAAAAGAAAGAAAAATAAGAGAAATAATTGAAAAAAAAAAACTGAATGAATGAAATATATTGAAAAAGAAAAGAAAAAAAATGAAAAATATTGAAAAAAAGAAAATGAATGAATGAAATATATTGAAAAAAAAGAAAACGGAATAAAAGAAATGCATTGAAAAAAAAAACTGAATGAATGAAATATTGAAAAGAAAGAAAACTGAATGAAGGAAATATAATATTGAAAAAGAAAGAAAATGAATATTGAAAAATTGAAAAGAAAGAAAACTGAATGATATTGAAAAGAAAGAAAAAAATATATAAAAAAAAGAAAAGAAAAACTGAATGAAAAGAAAAATGAAATATATTTGAAAAAAATTGATAAAGAAAAAAACTGAATGAAGGAAATATATTGAAAAAAAAGAAAGAAAACTGAATGAATGAATGAAAAAAAGAAAACTGAATGAATGAAATATTGAAAAAAAAAGAAAACTGAAAAACTGAATGAATGAAAAAGAAAAATGAATGAAGGAAATATATTGAAAAAGAAAGAAAACGGAATAAGAGAAATGCAAAAAAGAAAAGAAAAAAATATATTGAAAAATGAATGAAAAATGAATGAAATATATTGAAAAAGAAAGAAAACTGAATGAATGAAAATATTGAAAAGAAAGAAAAACTGAATGAAAAATATTGAAAAGAAAACTGAATGAATGAAATATATTGAAAAAAATTGAAAAGAAAAAAAACTGAATGAATGAAATATATTGAAAAGAAAAAAAAGAAAAAAAGAGAATTGATAAAGAAAAACTGAATGAATGAAATATATTGAAAAAAAAAAAACTGAATGAATGAAATATATTGAAAAGAAAGAAAAAACTGAATGAATGAAAAATATTGAAAAAAAAAAAAACTGAATGAATGAAATATATTGAAAAAGAAAAAAAACTGAATGAATGAAATATATTGAAAAAAAAGAAACTGAATGAATGAAATGAAAAAGAAAGAAAAGATGAAAAGAAAGAAAACGGAATAAGAGAAATGCATTGAAAAACTGAATGAAAAAAAAACTGAATGAATGAAATATATTGAAAAAGAAAACTGAAATGAAAATATTGAATGAAAAGGAAATGCATGATAAAGAAAAAACTGAATGAAAAAAAAGAAAATGGAATATATTGAAAAAGAAAAAAACTAAATGAAATATATTGAAAAAAAAAAACTGAATGAAGAAATATATTGATAAAGAAAAAAAAGAAAAAAAAAAGAAAGAAAACGAATGATTGAAAAAGAAAGAAAAAAACTGAAAAACTGAATGAAAAGAAAGAAATGAATGATTGAAATATATTGAAAAAAAAGAAAACGGAAAAGAAAACATTGATAAAGAAAAAACGAATGAATGAAAATATTGAAAAAGAAAGAAAACTGAATGAAGGAAATATATTGAAAAAATATATTGAAAAAGAAATATATTGAAAAAAAAAAGAAAAATGAATAAGAGAAAAATTGAAATAATTGAAAAAAGAAATGAAATATAAAAAAAAAAGAAAACTGAATGAAGGAAATATATTGAAAAAAAGAAATAAAAACTGAATGAAAAAAATGAATGAAAATTGAAAAAGAAAGAAATTGAATGAAAATTGAAAAAGAAAAAACTGAATGAATGAAATATATGAATGAAAAATATTGAAAAGAAAGAAAAAACTGAATGAATGAAATATATTGAAAAAAGAAAGAAAACTGAATGAAGGAAATATATTGAAAAAACTGAAAAAACTGAAAAAAGAAAGAAAATGAATGATTGAAATAAAAGAAAGAAAACTGAATTGAAATATAAAAAAGAAGGAAAAACTGAAAAGAATGAAATATATTGAAAAAGAAAGAAAACTGAATGAAAAAGAAAGAAACTGAATGAAATATATTGAAAAAGAAAGAAAAAAAAGAAACTGAATGAAAAATGCATTGAAAAAAAAAAAACTGAATGAATGAAATATATTGAAAAAAGAAAAAAAAAACTGAATGAATGAAAAAGAAAGGAATGAAAATATTGAAAAAAAAACTGAATGAAGGAAAATATTGAAAAAGAAAAGAAAAACTGAATGAAGGAAATATATTTGAAAAAAAGAAAAAACTGAAAAGAGAAATGCATTGATAAAGAAAAAATGAAATATATTGAAAAAAGAAAAAAAAACTGAATGAATGAAATATATTGAAAAGAAAGAAAAACTGAATGAAAAAAGAAAAAAGAAAATATATTGAAAAAGAAAGAAAACGGAATAAGAGAAATATATTGATAAAGAAAAAACTGAATGAAGAAATAAAACTGAAAATTGAAATATATTGAAAAAGAAAGAAAACTGACTGAATGAAAATATATGAAAAGAAAGAAAATGAATGAAATATATTGAAAAGAAAAGAAAACGGAATAAGAGAAATGCATTGATAAAGAAAAACTGAATGAATGAAATATATTGAAAAAAGAAAGAAAACTGAATTAAAAAAAATGAAACTGAAAATTGAATGAAGGAAAAAGAAAAGAAATGCATTGATAAAGAAAAAATGAAATATATTGAAAAAGAAAGAAAACTGAATGAATGAAATATATTGAAAAAGAAAGAAAACTGAATGAATGAAATATATTGAAAAAGAAAGAAAACTGAATGAAGGAAATATATTGAAAAAGAAAGAAAAAATGCATTGATAAAGAAAAACTGAATTGAAAATATTGAAAAAAGAAAACTGAATGAATGAAATATATTGAAAAAGAAAGAAAACTGAATGAAGGAAATATATTGAAAAAGAAAGAAAACGGAATAAGAGAAATGCATTGATAAAGAAAAAACTGAATGAATGAAATATATTGAAAAAGAAAGAAAACTGAATGAATGAAATATATTGAAAAAGAAAGAAAACTGAATGAAGGAAATATATTGAAAAAGAAAGAAAACGGAATAAGAGAAATGCATTGATAAAGAAAAAACTGAATGAATGAAATATATTGAAAAAGAAAGAAAACTGAATGAAGGAAATATATTGAAAAAGAAAGAAAACTGAATGAAGGAAATATATTGAAAAGAAAGAAAAAAAAAAAAAATTGAAAACTGAATGAAATATATTGAAAAAAAGAAAACTGAATGAAAGAAAAAAATTGAAAAAAAGAAAGAAAACTGAATGAATGAAAATATTGAAAAACAAAAAAAAAAAATTGATAATGAAAAACTGTATGAAAAAAAAAATGAAAGAAATACAAAAAAGAAAACCAAATGAAACAAAAAGAAACTGATAACCAAAAAACTGTATGAAAAAAATAAATTAATAAAAAAAACTGTATGAAAGAAAGAAATTGATATCAGAAAAAATTCTATGAAAAAAGAAATTGATAAAGAAAAAACTGTATGAATGAAAGAAATTGATAAAGAAAGAAATCTTTATGAAAGAATCAAAATTGAAAGAAAGAAATATATTGATTAAGAATGAAATAAACTGGATAAGCACAAAAATTTAAAGAAAGAAATGAAAGAAAAAAAAACATATTGCGAAAGAAAAAGTATAAAGAAGATAGAGACGTAAAAGAAATTTTTTAGAAATTAAAAAACGCAAAGAAAAATATTAAGAAAGAAACTACAATGAAGGAAGTGAAGAAGAAAGCAAGAAAAAACTAATAAATAAACAAGATAAGTGTGAAGGGAAAAAAGATCAATGTAAAATTATGAAATATAAACATAGAAAACGGAAAAAAGATACAAATAAATATTTTTGGCAATTGATAATCTGTACATTGCAGCATTATATAAAAAAAATAATTTCTTCTAATATAGTGTTGCGAAAGATAAAAATTACCTTCCACTGACCAGAAAAAAATAACAGTAAAAATTAATTATAATAAATATTCACGAGAATGAAAAAAAAAACAGTTACGTCATCTTGCAGTGATCACTTACATGTGCCACACCTCCGCTTTCTTTAATGTCATTGGTTCATAAATATATGATACTATATGACAATTTTGCCATCACACATTATTTGAATTTTTCTCTAAAATCACGGATTGGTCCATTTCCTGCCCAATCGCGTATTTTAATTTCTATATTTTTTTTTAGCGCCAAGCTCACTTGAGCCGATGCATACCTATATAAACTCTCTCGCTGTTAGCCAACGGCGGTAGCACTTCAATTCTCTGAATATACGGCACGGCGCTATATTACTTATAACATTTTAATTCTTAGTTATTACTCATTCGAGTAATTTTACTAACTTCTATTGATATCATTCGTGTACATTACATCTTTCCACACTCACAAACAGACTGTGGAATTATTCTTCATTGAGCTAAGACCTTAATTGAACTTTGTAGTTAAATAACATTCATTAATTAGCTAAACTTACCCTTTTTATTACGGAAAAAGGGAAGCAACTTTCTTTATACTTATTTTTGAAATTTGTATATCATTGTTAATACAATATTTTATTAATGTTCACTGAGCTTGATTATTTTTCTCTCGTGTATGTTGTGCATAATTCATGTGGGGTGTTGTTTTACAAGAACACAGCTTTCCTTCTTGATTATATTCACGGTAACCCTAGCCAACAATTCTTACAGCACCACTACAATCTGACGATTTTTGTTTTTGTAAAAAGGTAAAAAGACAAATTTCTAATCTTTATAAGTATTGCTTAGTTATTCGAATAAAGTTATTTTCTGCCATGATAGTGGTAACCACCTCAGCATTTAAATCCCAGTTTCACATTAAAGGGATGTCAGCAATGCATAAATAAATAAGCAATATGAAATAAACGAATTTTAACAAGGGACATAGGAATTGCGCAGTACTCATCTTGTTTCATTTCGGCACAAGAATTGGTACGCTAATTGCTAATTGTTATTTGTTTAAACGGTTGAACAAATCTTTTATGCATCGAACTTGAAGAATTGGTAAATTTTTTTTTTAATTCAGTATAATAAAACGTATTAAGTAACTCATTTTGATTAAATTAGTGTTTTTTTTTATTTCTTCTTTTTTCCTTTTGAGGCACTAATATAAGAAATTTAAGCTGATTGAACATGCATTGTCTGCATTTCTGAAATAAAACAGACGATGTTTTAGGCTCTAGCTTAAACTATTGATTTTCAAAAAATATATATATTTGCGTCCTTCCGATTTGAGGAATAGTAGCTTTGTGTGAGTTATTTCGGCACCAATCAGAGGGTTTCGCTCCAAATTCCGGAACACAATCTGTAGCTGGTCTTGGTGTATAAAATAAAAAAATTTAAATGAATCGTGGAGAGGACGAGATTCGACATCATCAGCTGCAAGGATAGGCCAGGTGACTCTAGTCCAGGAGTCGACATAAGCTGCAGTTCGAATCCATTTTACTCCGGTCAAGGAACGACACAGAATAAATTTGATACCACCAGGCGAGGATTGAAAAGAAAATCAAGGTCGTTCCTTTACAGTGTAACCCGGATATAAGAGAGTTGTCGGGACCGGAGAAGTCTCTTATATCCAGTTTTCTCTTATATCCGGGTTTGGTCTATTTTATATACATTAACACAGGCTCTAATTTGGGACGAGAGAAAATCTCTCTTATATCCGGGTGTCTCTTATATCCGGGTTTCTCTTATATCCGGGTTACACAGAAAGATTCTTCGACTGTTATGAGATCCGTTTTTTTCAGTTACCAAGAAACGTCACCGCGTACATTGTACCTACTACTTGAAAATCATGCAGAGAAGTAACCCTCCCTTTTCCTTTTCTATATTTATTTTAATGACGTTTGACTTTCTGGGGAACTCATGCAATATATTTCATTGTAAACGTAGCATATTTTGTTTGCATTATATCCTGTATTGTTAAAAAGGCATATTTTTACACTATATGCTTTTATTTGTACATACAAGTTATTGGCCATTATTTGGTAGAGAAAAAACTTAATTGTTTTGTTTATTCAATAAATTGAATGTATTTCTCTTTTTTAAACTCAGCTGTGTCGCCTGTCTTTGTCGTGTACTTTTGGCCTTATACATCAACGTTACCACAAACATTTGTTTGTACTACGATACCCTTTTTTCGTATGGTTGTTTTTTTACCTCATAAAAAATCCTGTGCCAAAGCCAAACCGACGTATGTAGCGAATGTGCTTAAGATTGTCAAATTTGACTGCAGTTGATTATAAACTATTGGTTAAAAAAAGATGTAACCGTGGCGTGGTAGATCGTTTCGGTTAAAATCACCCTGACGTGTCAAAACATGTTTTGATCGTCTGAAGACCAAATAAATTGTTTGAATGTTTTTGTCGCAGTTCCGATGGTGAATCTTTTCCGAAATTCATAAAGTATAATATGGCGAAAAGGCAACTTTTCATCTTTCCTCTTTAAGGTATTCATTTCTGGATAAAACGTCAATACTCAACAAAGTCTCACCAGCAACTGAAGAAAGCAAGTTTTCAATGTAGAACACCGCAGAAATTGACTCCCAGTCTTATGTTGCGGAAATAACCGGAAATAACCGGAAATAGCCGGAAATATTAACAATGAAAATCTGGCATGAATTTTTGCAAAGATCTGATACGCTTGAATTGTGCATAAACTGATCGATGTTAATGTTTTGTCTTTGTTCAGGAACTGGATGTTGTCGGCGTGTTAGACAAGCTTTTGTTGACAACATCCTGGTATTTTGGGGAGTGTTGGAATTCGAATTAATGACCTCAATCATAACAGCCAAAAAAATGAATTGAAATTCTTCCTACTGTAGGGACCGAAATAAACGGTAATCCGACGGTGCAAGGTCAGTGAATACGACAAATGTAGCTGAACATCCCAGCCATACTGTACCAATTTCTGCCCGTCCTGGGTAAGACGATAAACTACATCCAACAGCAGGTTGATCAGGTTTTGAGGAACGTGGAACCACCTCTTAATTGCTGGTGTTCTCAAGTCCCACCCTGACCTGGGGTGGTAGCACCTGTTAGCGTCCCAGCTATGGGCAAATAATTAACCCCCAAAAGGGGTCAAAACACTATGAATGTATAAAAAATATGTTTTAATATTAGCGATAGTTTTGGAAAAAAAACAATTTTGACAGCAACACATTTCTAAAAAAAATAAATACTACCATCAATGCACTTTTGAAAAAAAAATTACCAACAAATCTATTTTTGGAAAAAGAAAATTACCAAAATACATTTTTTGAAAAAAAAATTACCAGCAATATATTTTTGAAAAAAATATTACCTGCTTTGAAAATCTTGTCGTCATTAAATAACCCATTGAGGTTGATATACTGTAAAACAAACCAAACCAAACCAATTTCTGCTAGGTCTGCAAACAGACGTGAGATCTGGATTTGTCTAGACGATTTGTCTTCCGATTGGCCAGTGTCATCGGTTGCTTCCGCAGGTCTAATAGGGAAGTATATTTATCCGCATTCAGTATTTGATTTACGGAAGTAGCTCGTAATACCCAACACGTTTCCAATCCCACGAGATACATCGCCTTCTTTAGATGAAGGCCGTCTTTTGGTGCGGTTAAATGTAGCTCATTAAATTTCTAAAGGCCTTTCCGGCTTCATTTTTCATCGTCAGGATTTTTTTTTTTTCGAAAATAGGTTGTTTCTTTTGCGTTTGGGCATGGATTCTCAGAGGAAATTATTTTTTCCCTCGTTATATCGTGAGTCACCTAAGAACCGTAGTCATTCATGTATTCAAACGTATACAAATAATTTACAACACTCATGTGAGGTATGTGGAGTATTTCTGCGATGTCCCGTGTTATGTGATTTGGATTGTTTTTAATCAATGTTCCGATATTGCTCATCATTAAAGACTTCCATTTCAGAATCTAACAAGCGACTTACGAACAGATATAGGACCATAAAGAGCACATACCGTTTTTGCTATTTGAACTAATTTTCTTACTTTCTGGATATATGCAATTATCTTATATATGTGTGTGGGGGGTGAACATTGAAGTCAACACCCAGAGGTGACAGGCTGTTGCATGCTGGACGCAATCGTCAGGCCGCGAGAGTTTGATATTCCTCGACTATTATATATATATATATATTGTGTGTGTCAGTGGTGCATTGTGGGTAATCTATTCTGACGGTTATTTTTGCGGGGGTGGCTTGTTTATCTATTTATTTATTGCATCGAGCATGAAACAGCCTGTCGCTTCTGTGTGTTGACTTCAATGTTCACTTTTCTATTTATATTTACATACGCTCTATCTCTGATATCTCCCTGATATTAACTATATTTCTTATATCCATAAATATATATATACTTTATAAAATATATATATATACACGCACGTATATGTATATATATATATATATATATATATATATATATATATATATATATATATATTAGACTCTTCGTCGTATTCGACGAATAAGGGTATATAGAATATATATATATATATATATATACACACGCAACGTACCCAAATGAATATGATATATATATATATATATATATATATATATATATATATATATATATATATATATATATATATATAGACTCTGTGCGTGTCGTATTCGCCGAATAAGGGTCAAGCAGCTCAAAACAAAATATAGACCAGGTCCTATATAAAGAAATAGAACCGAGAGGTTCTAAAAACATCAGCACATATGATTTGAATATAGTTGTGAAGGTTTCTTGCAGAACCAATCGAACATTTTTTGAAGGCCCAAATAAAAGAGATCTCGTTCACTACGTGCAACAATTAACAAAGGTACCCAAGATAAATGAACCTCGAAAGCAATCGTTGATAGTTTATATATATATATATATATATATATATATATATATATATATATATATATATATAGCGAAATTACGTCAGAATGTGTGTGCATGGTGTCATAAATTTCAGCCAGGTGAAAGGAAACTGCAGCTTAAAATGACACCTCCGGAAAAACGGTACGGACATTTTGTCCATCACAATATTTCAACTCTCAAAACAAAAATATTTAATACACTGACCAGAAGTCAATACATTACAAAGAAATAATGAGATTCCTCGCAGCGTTCATTAGTTCGTTCTAAAACAGCGAGTACACGCGCTTTACATAGTTGCCATTACATCCACCCGTCTGCCGAATCCTTTTTAAAGCGTCTTTCTAATTTGATAGACTTTTCTTCCACCCGTCCTCCTCGAACATTTGATTCGAGGCACGTCTGACATAATAGTGCCCAGCAATCTTAGCTTCAAATAGGATAGCCAATCATTTATTAACAAAGGTTGCCTCAAGATAAGATAGTTAGTTTCCGAAATCAATCTCTATTTTTTTCTTTTTTTTTCCTCCATGGACAGTAAAGGTACCAGTTTGTCTGAATCCAAAACACAGACATGTCTATATATAAATGAAAGACTACAAAAAAATACGGACAATAGCGAAATTACGTCAGAATAATGGTAACTTCGCGACATGGCATGGAATCAATGCGGTTTCAGAGACGCTGCATGGGCATATGTATCCAATCACGTATCCAGTCACGTCTGAAGGTTGTATTTGTTGCGGGTAACGACAAAGAATTTAATGAGGACTGCAAAAAGTAACATTCAGGGTGCGATAAGTAAATTGTCGCAATTTTATACTTTCCTATATAGATAGGTAATGTACAGTATGAGATAGATAGATAGATAGATAGATAGATAGATAGATAGATAGATAGATAGATAATGTTCATAATGAGATAGATGGATAGATAGATAATAAGGTAATGTTCATGCTGAGATACATAGATAAATAATATTCATGATGAGATAGCTAGCTAAATAGATGTCATGGCAATTCATAGATAATAAAGAAAAGGAACCTGTGGAGAAGGCAACGGGAAACCACGCCACTATCTTTCCCAAGAAGTCATGGCAATTAAAAGATAATCAATAAAAGGAATCTGTGGAGAAGGCAATGGGAAACCACTCCACTATCTCACCCAAGAAGTCCTGGCAATTCACAGATAATAAAGAAAAGGAATCTGTTGAGAAGGCAATGGGAAACCACTCCACTATCTTTCCCAAGAAGTCATGGCAATTAAAAGATAATCAATAAAAGGAATCTGTGGAGAAGGCAATGGGAAACCACTCCACTATCTTTCCCAAGAAGTCATGGCAATTCACAGATAATAAAGAAAAGGAATTTGTTGAGAAGACAATGGGAAACCACTCCACTATCTTTCCCAAGATTAATAAGACCTATTAATTATATATTAATAAATATTCATAAGAAGAAACCACTCCACTATCTTTCCCAAGAAGTCATATTATAGTATAAAGAAAAGGAAGCCGTTGGTATAAACCAATGGTTTCTGTCATCAATTATAGGCATTAAAGAATATTTGTGGAGATTTCATAGTTTATTTTGTTCAGGTTAGGTTTCAACTGTTTTATGTATACAGCTTCAGAAAATTTTAGTTTTTGTTTATTGTTTTCATGTTTAATAAATAATTGTGTTTTCAACGAGATCTTTCCTAAGAAGTCCAAATTCAAGCAATAAAAGAAAAGGAATGTATCAATATGGTGATTTTCTTTCATCTTTCAATGGTAATGTTATTAAGACAATGGAAACCACTCCATTATCTTTCCCAAGATTAATCAGACCTATTAAAAAATATGATTATCAGACAATATGTATAAAAGGAATTCTGTCATCTTAAAAAGAATATTTGTGGAGAAAACTTGTCTATATTATTTAATGAAACATGAAATTTTAGTTTTTGTTTATTGAAAAAATGAGTCCTAATATGGTGATTTTCACACAGAAAAAAATATGATTATCAGACAATATGAAAGGAATTTACTTAAAATAAAAAATATATATATATATATATATATATATATATATATATATATATATATATATATATCGGAAACAATATATACATTATTGTATAGGGAAAAAGCAATACCAAAGTGCAAAAAAGTTTTTAAATGACACGTTTCACCCTTTATGACTTCACTATACTAAAGTGTTGTTTAAGTTGATGCGACTGCACATGCGCAGCAATTAAAGCGGAAGCTGATAAGTTTAGATTTAATTTTTTTTTCTTTTAAAAATATGTTTTCGATATATAGTATATCCCATTTAATATGGTTTTCTTTTTCCTTTTGTTTGTTTCCATCACATTTGCTATTAAATATCCCACGTTTTGATAACAGAAGATCTGTCAAGAATGGTGAAATATAAGAATTTACTGTGAATGATCTTGCGATTAAAGCACTTTCTATATAGTTTCATCTTAGTAATTTTCTTTCTCTTTTAATTAAAATATATATATATTAATATGTGTTTGGGTATATAGTCCAGTCAATTTCATTTACTTTCTTTTTGGTTATGTTTTTATCACTTGTTATTAAATATCGTACATTGTGATTATAGATCTGCCAAGAATGGTGAAACGCTTTAAGAACCTTGACGCAAATTTACATATATCTATGCTGAGAATACTATGGATGGAACTGGGGCACTCAGTGAAGAAGGATTGCTTGGAAAACTTTGCACTTACAGGACATAACAAAAGTAATAGAGACAAGGAAGACAAATGGCTGACTATCTGACAAGCATGTGTGAAGCGAGAGGCATGGTAGAAAGACAAACGTTACTAAAAGCTACAAGAGATAAGAAATTGTGGAGAGCCATGATCGTCTCCGTCCTGAAGGGACACATCATATAGAAGAAAAGGGAGGCGAAATGGATAATAAAAAGACAAAATTTGTTAAGCGCTACACGGGATATGAAGTTGGGGAAAGTCATCATCGTCTTCATCACACACAAGAAGGAGGTTGGAGGGATGGTAAAAGAAAATAAACGATACCAAGAGCTACAAAGGATTGAAATTTGTGGAGAGCCATGATCGTTCAGAAGACTGTGGAACGTATGGTAAAAACAAAGGATACTAAGAGCTAGAAGTGAGAGGAAGTTGCGGAGAGCCGTAATCGTCCACGTTCTGAAGAGTCACGTAACATAAAAAAAGGAGGAAGTTCAAATTATGGTAAAAGACAAACGATACTAAGAGCTAGAAAGAATTGGAATTTGTGGTGAGCCATGACTGCCCAAATCTTGATGGGATGGGGATGAAGTATACGAGTTGTTCAAATGTCTATGGTCTGACCGCAAGAAAAGTTGGCTTCCTGTGCCGCGCCAGGAAATTTTTCTCCCCGGAATCGATCCTCCAGATCTACAAATCAACAATTCGTCCTTGCATGGAGTATTGCTGCCATATATGGTCTGGAGCCCTTCTGTTTGCCTCGGGTTTCTTGAATAGGTCCAGAGGCGGATATGCAAATATAATTGGCCCTGCTCTGGCATCTCGTCTACAGTCACTTTCTCACAGACGCGCCGTCGCCCTCTCTGTCTGTTTTACAAATACTTTCATGGCAATTGCTCCGAGAAGCTGCATTCGCTGGTTCCCATACTTCATGAGTTCCAGCGCCCTACGAGGCTGCCATCCCGCTCTCACCCCTTCACTGTCGAAACTCCTAAATGTAGCCGTCTCTTCTACTCCAATAGCTTCATATCTCGCACCTCTCGCCTGTGGAACTCCCTTCCCTATTCCAGTTTCCCTGAGAGCTATAATCTCCAAATATTCAAATCTAATGTAAATCGACATCTCCAGTTGCCCTGATCTATCCACTACCCTTCTCCTCATCCTTTCTTCTATCACTCCTATCTGATCCTGCTCTAAATTTTCTGTAACCCCTTGCGTCCTAGTGGCTTTTCGCCTTGCTTGGGGTGATAGGCTTAAAAAAAAGATCTTTTAAAACAAAATGTATACAGTTTGGTCGTTTGGTTAGACGTTGGTAAAGATATGGGGTCACCACACTCATCCGTATATGTCATTTAACAGTTGATATATTATCGGCGCATCCCCCGACTCTTATTTCTGAGGGGAGATTGTATTTGGACGATTGAAATGACCGGTTCCTGCTTCCTTACGTTCTAAGATATTGTAAGATATTATTGACTTTACTTGATTCATTAGTCTTGCATTGTAGAAAAAAAATAAGAAGTGGACTGCATGATTATTGAAGATCGTATGATTTTTATTTTTTATGTATTTAGATAGATAGATAGTTAGATAGATAAATGTGTACACATTGAGAGAGATAAAGGAGGAGAGAGAGATAGGAACAGGCATAGATAAAAAAAAAAGAAAGGGGGACATACCTAAATAGGCAGAGAAAGAGATGTGCAGACTGTATATATATATATATATATATATATATATATATATATATATATATATATATATTATTATTGTTATTATTATTATTATTATTATTATTGTTATTGTTATTATCTACGGTAATTCTCAAGTTTAACCCTTTCTTTACACTATATTATATATCGAGAGAGAGAAACAGACATAGATAGATAGATAGATAGATAGATAGATAGGGTAACAGATTTAGATAGATAGGTAGAGAGAGAGATGCACAGACTGAGATAGTTAAATAGAGAGACGGGGAGATAGGAACAGACATAGATAGATAGATAGATAGATAGATAGATAGATAGATAGGAACAAGCCTAAACAGAGAGGGAGATGAACATAGATGAATAGATAGAGAGAGAGAAAGAGAGAGAGAAAAAAGTGGGTAACAGACAGAGATAGATAGATAGATAGATAGATAGATAGATAGATAGATAGATAGGGTAACAGATTTAGATAGATAGGTAGAGAGAGAGATGCACAGACTGAGATAGTTAAATAGAGAGACGGGGAGATAGGAACAGACATAGATAGATAGATAGATAGATAGATAGATAGATAGATAGATAGATAAGAACAAGCCTAAACAGAGAGGGAGATGAACATAGATGAATAGATAGAGAGAGAGAAAGAGAGAGAGAAAGAGAGAGAAAAAAGTGGGTAACAGACAGAGATAGATAGATAGATAGATAGATAGATAGATAGATATAGGAACAGATATAAATAGATAGATAGATATGAATTGACTGGAATTAATACATTGTGCTTTCAATATATGTTTGATATATTTATAGCGGGGAAATGTATGACAAAGTGGAAAAAGTTTTCTTGTGACGCGTTTCGTCCTGATTAAATCTGTTAGGCTATTTCGACTACATAAACGAGGGATGCTGGGAATTTTTTTTTTTTTTTTTTTTAGCTGATTTCATCTAGATTCTTTTTTCTTTTTTTCCGTCGCTTTTGTTAGTAGATATCCCACATTGTTATAACAGAACTTCTGCTAGGAATGGAAAAATGTTGGAAGAGCCCGGATGTAGATTTACTTTAGATAACCTTGCGATCAAAGCATTCTCTAGATATTTTCGTCGTAATGAATTCTGTTCTCCTTTGATCAGAGTAGCATTTTTATGTCGAAATTGTGGTCAGCTTCGTTACACTGAGCAGCCAACGCATTTGATTTATTGTTTTGTAAAATGTCTCTTTTGTGTTGATAACAATCTTATATTGAAATAATAGGCTTCACGTACGATTTCAGTTTCAAGTCTTTTTTCACTGCTCTTTAGACTGACATAGCTGAAACTCCTCTCTCACGCGCCAAACGTCTTATGAATTGAGTTGGATCTTTTCTAATTGATCACTTTAGTTCTAAGTTGAAATGATGATCTCTCTTCCTGTTGTGAACTCCTGATTAAGTTTTCCTTTCTACTCTTCCCTCTTTTTTAAACTTATTGACTTTCTTCTTGATGGTTTTTTGAATGGATTTTGAAGATGGAAGCCAGAGTATGAATGTTGGTACCATTACTGAAGGTCTGAATGATATTTTTCCTCTCACCATTGCTCATTTGGAAAGACAGTTAGGCAGACACAAGACGATTTTAACTAGTTTAGATGAATAACTCAAAATGTTTTTCAGTGGTCCTTACGAAAGCTGGTGTCAAGTTGGTTAAATGTCTTATCTGAAGACCTGAAAAAAGAAACTCAATTAGTTTAGCTGTTTCTACATATTAAACCTTTTGTGGGATGATCATTTATGGTGTTACACTATTTGGACAATTTTACTGTTACACCTGATATATATATATATATATATATATATATATATATATATATATATATATATATATATATATATATAGGTAACTTTACTCGTTTCGAAAAACCTTCGAATTTTGATTTGCCAATAATCAAATCAATCACGAAGGAAAAAAGGTTTTAAAAAAGAAAGAGCGAGAAACATGAAAGTCTGTCGAAAAAAAATCGCACAGATACAGGTTTAAAGCCCAAAAAAAAACCCCGATACGAGTAAACAACTAACTAACAAAAGAGCTCAATACAACCGTAGAGCAGACCTAGATACACCTAGTGAGCCAGACAAACCTACCTAGGTTTCACGTAAGCGGATCGTCAGGGAAAGCCTTTCCCTGACAATCCGCTTAGGTGAAATCTGGGTAGGTTTGTCTGGCTCACTAGGTTTCTCTCTCTCTCTCTATATATATATATATATGTGCGTGTGTGTTTGTGTGTGTGTGTGTGTGTGTGTAAACAAACAATTTTTACAGCACATGATCTCCAGTTATAGAATCTCTAAAAGAGTCTTCTCAATCATAAAGTCCTTTCTAACAGGTAGGGAGGTGAAGGTATTTATAATGGACAGTCCTCCGGAGCCCTAGGGGTCAACACAGGCGGCTAATATAGGGACGCACATCTAAAAATCTCGATGGTCAGAGATTAGCGACTGAGCCCTTCCGATCTTTTAGCAATTACACAATAGGGTAAATACCGGCTGGTTACATTCATTGCCTCGAGGACCAAGGTAGTTATATTCCATAATCGCCGATCTGACCCTGAACAATCATCAATTTGGATGAACGGAGGTCCTCTCGAGGAAGCATCGTGCTTTGAAAGACAGTTGGGCTTAAAACTCACACCCGCCCACAAGTGGAACTTGTGCATACGATCAATTGCTAAGGATCCAGCTAAAATGGACAGCTGTCTGTACCGCTCCAGTAAGTACATGACTCTTCGTGTTATCCTCTACATTCACAAGGCCAAAAAAGGAGTACTTTTCATATTTGGGCATGAGCTTTCCAGAAATCATTCTTACGGTTTGATAGAGTTCAAAAGCGTCTCTGAGCCCTTGTGGGTGATGAATTATTCTCTACTCTACGACCTCACTCGCATAAGCAGACATGGCATGATACTCGCTGTTCTACCACAGATAGTGTTCGGACGAACTACATTCCTGGTTCCGCCAGGTCAAACACTGACAAAAGAATAGACCATGCCTCTTATTATAGTAGCAAAAGACCCACATTCACTTTATATTCCATCGATGAGAAGTAAGATCTAACCCAAACAGCTTCTTTCCGCGTGCCACTGCCCTGTGGAACCGACAGGATGTTTCTACGATCATTTCAGTTTTAACCTGTTCAATACTCGCCTATCTTCCACACATATACATACAAATGGCCTCCTCAGGTAACCCTCTACCTCGAGGGGCCCCTGGGCCTTGTAAAAGATGAACCTTACCGTAAAAAAACCCTCAACATCCATGCCATTACACTATTTTTGCCTTGAATGTCACCATGAACTATAATTTTGAGATGGAAGAAAGTGATGGCCACACCGGAGCAAAATGCGCTAAGTGTATTAATGAAGGAGCGACATATATATATATATATATATATATATATATATATATATATATATGTGTGTGTGTGTGTGTGTGTGTGTGTGTGTGTGTGTGTGTGTGTGTGTTTCACTGAAGTTTTTATTAAGACATTAGAATATACTAGTCTTTCACTTTTAACGTAACATGTATAAAAGTAACTTGGCGGTCCATATACAGTGGCGGGGGGGAATAAATATTCGTACATTTGAATATTTGTATTTTTATAAATGTAAAAGCATTAACTAAAACAAATTTTGATACATTTTATGTGTAAAGATACATTTTATTAAAAAATAGTAATAAACTTAATTAATTCTTATTCTAACAGAAATTAATGGATTTTTTTCATTTTAACGGATAAAAAAAGTATTCGTACAAAACAAAAAAAGCATATTAATTTAATACTTTGTGGAATATCCTTTATTGAGTTCAACAGCTACCAGTCTATTCCTGTATGTTTCAACTAATGATTTGCATACATTGAGTGGTATTTTGTCCCATTCTTCTTGGCATATTGTCTTCAAATTCTTGATATTTGTTGGTGCCCTTTTCCCAATTTGAATTTTCAAATTCTCGATTGGGTTCAAGTCTGGGGACTGGCTTGGCCATTGCAAGACATCAATGTTACTTTCAGCTAACCATTTCCCTGTATATCTAGCGGTATGCTTAGGATCATTATCCAGTTGGAAAACCCAATCAGGAGGTAGCCGAAGTCTCTCAACAGAACGCATTAAATTGTCTTGCAGGATTTTCTGGTAGCTTTCGGCATTCATCTTGCCATCTATTATTGATATTCTGCCAACAACTTTGGCAGAAAAACAGCCCTAGATCATGATACTGCCACCACCAAACTTTACAGTTAGCAACGTGTTCTTTGATAAGTAGGCTTCACCGTCCTTCCTCCACACATGATTTCGATAATTATGAGCAAACAACTCTATTTTAGTTTCAACTGTCCGTAGTACTTTTTCCCCAAACGAATATTCTTTATCCTTATGTTCTCTAACAAATTTTAGCCTAACATCTCCGTGTCGTTTCAAGAGGAGTGGAGTCTTCCTTGGGATGCGTGATTTCAGACTGTTTTTGTGTAGTTCATTACTTATTGTACTTTAATCCCTAATGCACGCAGATGTTCCCGCAGCTCTTCTCGGGTAACCTGTGGATTTTATTGGATCTGGCGTCCTAATATCCTTGCTGATCTTTCTCGGAGCACCTGTTCGTCTTTGGTTTTCGACGCTGTTACGAGTTTTAAACATTGCAATGAACGAAGCAATTGTAATAAAAGGAATATTCAGGTTGTTAGAAATCGTTCTGTAACTGTTCCCATCTTTCCAGAGACAAAATGTGTTGTTTTTGTGAAATAGTCAATTCTTTACCTTTAGGCATTATTAGAAACTTCTCGTAAGACTAGAAATTGCAGAATGCTCTGATAATGACTAATAGCGTTAACTATAATTACTCATAAGATTAGTGGAACATTCTGGAATATACTTTTTTCATAATTAATTGATTATTTTAATAATTGATTTGTACGAATACTTTTTTCACCAGTTAGAATTAGAAAATGCATTAATTTCTGTTAGAATAAGAATTAATTAAGTTTATTATTATTTTTTAATAGTATGTCTTTATACATAAAATGTGCTGAGATTTGTTTTATTTAAGGCTTTTACATTTATAAAAATACAATTTTTCAAGTGTACGAATATTTATTTTCCCCACAGTATATATATATATATATATATATATATATATATATATATATATATATATATATATATACAAAATTTATCCAATAAATTGGCTTAAACCACGGTCTCCATCCAACCTCGGAATCTCCTGCATTTTCTCTTTGTTTAAGTTGGTGAAAGCTGCCATTATCCTTGCTTTCAGTTAATCTTTGGTGTTACAAAGAGTTTGGTTGGTGTCTCCCTAAACTGCGACCCACACATACTAATCAAGTCTGGGGAGTTAGGTGACCAAATGTAATGGGTGATGTGCTAGCAGAAATTGTCTGACAGCCATGACTGTGTTCCCCTGCTTCTGTGGAAAGTGTTCCGACAGCAGCAACACTCTTGACCCAGGGTAGCACTACCACTGCTAGGCAATTGATGTAGGTCTCCGTGCTGATTCTGAGGCCCAGTGGGAGGATGAATATAGGCATAAAGTCGTCATCACTAGTGATCACTCCAAGCACCTTTGTAATCAGCATTAGAATTATCCAACTCTTTCTGGATCCGTTGCGCTGTCTCAGATTGACACCCAAACATTCTGAAATGTTCGTATTGAAGGTTCCAGGGCGAAGGCCAAGCAGTGCAGCATGCCGTTTTCTAATATCATAGACGATGCCTAAATGACCCTCCAATACGGTTCAGTCGGCAAAATCAAGAACGCGTATGCGCGAAATTAAAAACATAAAATTTACCCATCGAACATTGTGTATATAAACACCTTCCATAAATAATATATATGCATACATACATATTGTTTATGGATGTCATTTATATTTTAATATATGTTGCTTTTTATTATTATCAGATAATATAATTTTCTCTTCCAGTATATATATATATATATATATATATATATATATATATATATATATATATATAATTATTTTTTTTTAAAAATATGATTCTATCGCTACACAGGAATTACCATGTTTCAAAAAGAGAAGCTAAAAACTTCCAATGAAATTAAATTAAAGTACCAAGTTCTGTTTCATTTGGAAGTTTTTAGCTTCTGTTTTGGAAACATGGTAATTCCTGTGTAGCGATGGAATCATATTTTTATTAAAAAAATGATTATAATCTAGGGTCTACTTGTGTATCGAGCACTGTTTTTTAAAAATAAAAACAAAAATACTAAAGAACTTCGGATCATCAATCTAACTGTTCTTTTTGCCTATTTTATCAATATATTTGCATACATACATGCACATACACACACATATATATATATATATATATATATATATATATATATATATATATATATATATATATATATATATATATATATATATATATATATATAAATATATAGGGTGACCCAAAAACTGGGAACATTTTAACAATCCAGTAAAACCAGGAGTGATGGAAGAAAAATATTTTATTTTATACTTAAAACATGCCATTTAAAAAACAATGATGGAATTTTAATTTTTTAAAAATTACGTCCTGTTGATGGCGTCCTCCTGTACGAATGCATTCTTGAAATCTGCTGTTGAGATTCCTCATTGATAGCTGCAACATCTCAGCTGGGATACTGTGAATTTCATCTTGAATTCTAAATGGCGAAATGTTTATTTGCTCAAGGTCACTGTCTCGCAATGTTGCCACTTGCTCATGTCTGGTAATAAGCACTTCAAAAAAATTTTTTTCATATTTATATATATATATATATATATATATATATATATATATATTATAAATGTAAGTAAGTACCTCTTTAGCCAGCTTTCCATGACGATCCGCGTAAGTGAAACCTAGATAAGTTTGCCTGGCACTTTAGGTTCATAGTTTTTATATATATATATATATATATATATATATATATATATATATATGTGTGTGTGTGTGTGTGTGTGTGTGTGTGTGTGTGTGTGTGATATTTGTTGTTTTCCTGACTTGGAAGTTTCTTGGTAATGTGCATTCTCCAAGAGGTTCTGTTTTTGGTTTTTTAATATTTGCATTTTCCCCCATTTATTCCGCGTCTTTTTCAATCCGGTTTGAATTTAACGTTATTTTACATTAATAAATATACATATTTTTCCTCTCCGGTAGCACAACTTGGACTTTCCTGAACAACTCACTCTTCTCTCCTGCATCAAGCCTGGAAGGCCTGTGCTCTAGAACTAAACGGTTACGTTTTTCTAAAAAAATTTTTTTAAAAATGAATTCGTCAAGTGTGCCCAAAAGTGTCTGTGTTCTAGCATTAAACGATTGCTTTTTTCCGGAATTTATTTTTTAAATGAATTCGTAAAGTGTGGCTAGAAGTGTCTGTGCT